AATCCCACTATTCGTTGGTAAAAGAGTAGCACAAGAGTTGACGGTGGGTGGTAATGGCTAGCTGCCTTCTCTCTAGTCTTACACTGCTAAATTAGGGTGTAGCTTTGCGCGAAATTCAAACCAAACAAACAAACAGATAGTTCATGTTATGGAACTATAAATAATTGATCCTGGTGATTTTGATGGATTACCGTTTATTCAAACCTATTCTACCTGAGATATGATATAGTCAGTTTATATGCGAGTTTTATTGATCCTATCCATAGTCAAACGTTCTCGAGCTGTGCATACAAATTAAAAACAAAACAAAAACATTTTAAGAACATAGCCTTAACTAAAACTTGCAGTCTTAACACAACAACTAATGGCAGAATCAATGTTTAACGACTTACTAAACACTTTCCGTGATAAGCTAGCGTCTTCTTCTGTTTTAACAACCAGCACAGGTTTTTGTGTTCAGAGTTTTCTGTATCACACACTGGAGACACGGGAAGATGGCTACAATCACTACGAGCTGTCACTATAGTGAAAATATTGATCAGTTGTTTTAGTATAAACTGATGAAAAGAACTCTCTCAAACACACAATATACTTTTCTGAACTTTAGCTGTCAGTCTAAAATTCCAGGTAAGTTTTCAAATTGTTAAGAGCCCCAAATCATAGGTAAGGTGCTTCTCACACACACGAAAACAACAACAAAACACATAAAGATGTAACCAACTGTTAGATATACTTTTTCATGAACCTTCACCCTTTCCACCTAATAGTCTGAAACGTATGTTCCAAAATTTACGTAATTAACTGATCTTTACCAGTAAATATCAATGTGTACAAAACCTTTCAAAATCAAATAGAACGTACGACACTATATAGGCTTTTTTCTAAGATGAAGTATTATTTGGCTGAAGGGCGTCGTAACATAAACTAATTAGGAATTGTGTTCAGTAAATATTGTAAACACTAGAAAGAAAATGACACTTACCACAGTCATACTGTTTACACTTGTGATGTCGATAGCTCAGTATAATTCGGGTAACTTTTTACTAGCCTTAAGGATAAGACGTTTTTACGACATGGGCAGTCTGGAATGGCGGACTTTTCAGAAATGACTAACATTTAGCGCACGTAAAGTTCATCAGCTCTACTCCAAGTATGCTTGATATCAAGTTCAAAGCGTCATGATATGTTTTAATTTCACTATAATAACTTTATCATGGAAATGGTAATAAGCATAGAAAATATCACAGAAATATACCTAAAACTTCCTTTTACGTTCCATTACCATGTGAAACTAGAGTATGTTTAAATTGTATTGTATTATTTGAAAACATTAGAAGCTAAAACTGTTGTGAAATACAGAGGATTAAGTACATTATATCAAAACGATTTTAATATGCAAATTGCTACGTCACGTGACAACCATAGTCGATATATGTCGCCGTTGATCGGAATGTATCAGGACTACATTTGAAGTTGTTTGGAACTTTTGGATAATGTGGTACCACCGAAAATTACTTTCTTATATAAAAGGTGTGTAACAGCACTTTCAGACGCAAAATTATCTTACAATCAATCATAAATGTGTATGCAGATCGAGACTTAAAATTTTCAAGATGAAGATATCCATTTAGCTAATTGACATTGGAAAACAAAGGAATATGGATCATCTTGAAGTACCAGAACCATCCAGAAAGAGGTCTGCAAAAAGTCGTGCCCCAGTCGGGGTAAGCAGGTAATAATCAACGAACACAAAGATCAATGACAAAAGTCGTCCAGATGTCCAACTCAACAGTATGCAACATAAGCAAGAATTATCTTCATCTGGAAAACTGACACAAGTCATGTATACACATGAAACTTCCACGATATATCTGTCCAACTGTTGCATACTTCAAGCATCTGCAGTATAAAAACTGATATTCATGTCATTCTATATGAATGCATATCGGTCAACTCGCTGGACGCAGCACCTATAGAAATTTATGCGATCAGACTGTTGAAACAGATGTCGTTTTCGTACACTATATGGCATTTGGAAATCAAGCAGGGAGTAATAGGGCTGTGGTTTACATATAACATTCTTACGGCGAAGCCTTTTGCAACGGAAATTAGATAGTTCTTAGATAGAGCATGTCCAGCTACATGGAATCTAACGAGGTGGTGAGGCTCCAAAATCGTAGTTATATAACGTACTCAACTTCATATATCGTCGCTCAGCTAAAATTACTTCACAAAAATCATTAAAAGTAGCACATTTCACCATATATAATTTGAAATATCTTACTATACATCACCCTCTGGTGGCTCAGAGGTAAGCTCAAGGGCTTATAAGGCTAAGATTTGAGGCTAGACCCCTGCGGTGAACAGGTAGTCATTGTGCAGCTTTGCATCTAAAACAAGTTACTAATAAATTAGTTTGTAATTTTTCATAACTATTTTAGAAGAACTTAATTGGGCATTTCTGTGAATCTTGTACGTTTTGTAGATGTTTTCCTAAGCAACGAGTTTGTTAAACAATTTGAATAATAAAGCATTTTCTATAGCTCAAAATATATAAAAATATAGAATTGCACAGTACATTATGTAAACAATTTGAATAATAAAGCATTTTCTATAGCTCAAAATATATAAAAATATAGAATTGCACACAAAACAAATAACTTGAATAGCACCTAAACGACCTGGTTAGAAACCTACAGGTTTTAGGTATAACCATCGTTAATATTAACTACTGTCCCGTGTGAGTGCAGACAGCCAATAGCACCTGTCTTTACGAATAAAAGAGTTGACTGTCACACTTAGAACGCATCCACAATTGAAAATGCAGAGCGTATTCGTCGACATCACGTCTCGATTCTTAGACCCTTCGAGCTTATGTCCAATACGCTAACCATTAACTGTGATCTATAATTTAAAGTTCAGCTGATTTAAGATAACATCATTCTACGTCGCAAGTATTTTTTTATTTTTTTATCACTAGGAGGCGATAACAGAACACTTTATACAGATAAAAATACTATAGGTGGAGAAATGTTGACTAATATACATTTACAACTTTATGGAAATAAAATGATGCATAACGTTTTTGTTCAACATTTAACTTTTTTTTTGTTTGCTTTTATATTCTATTTTGTACATGAATGCCGGCATCTGTTTTATTGTACTCTTAATCTCATAGATAAAACACAAATTAATTTCCGCAGTTTGATGAAAAGTGAGAAATGGAACTAAATTATCAAAGGAACAACCTGTATTGAACGATAAAAAACAACTTGGTAAAAAAATTAAAGCAAATTCTCAAGCGATTAAAATAGGACTAATTTCTTCAATCGTATAAGACTGACTTGAAAAATAAATAACACTTCCATATTATAAAAATAGCGAAACCGTTTCATGAACAACGTACGAACAGCGTGGGCTGGTACATTTCAGGTTTTCTTTTCCAAGCTTTTAAGATACTTGAATCACATCACATCTCTGTGAATAGACTAGAAACAGGAGTATTTTAGTTAGTTAAATTTCTGAAGCCTATTTTAAGCAATCTCATCCAAGTTAAACAAAAATAAAAACGACTGACTGAAAATTTAGATTTTCTCTGTATAATTTAAATCCATTTAATGTAAGAAGTGTTGTTTTAATTTGTTTTTTTTTTTCAGGATGTAAGCTAGGAGAAATGTCTCACCTCGTTGTTCCTAAAGGGTCCTATGTTCGAATCCCCGAGGTATCGCATGAATACCACTGTAAGAAAGAGCAGCAAATTTGTCAGTGTTCAGCCAGTGGAAAACTAGAAAAGTGCATCAATCTACCGTGTGTGGAGCAGAAGAGCTGTTGGCTGAAAGGGGACAAAATACGTGAGTTTTATATTTAGTTTCTTGGAAAAATGACTAAAACAAAGCAAAAACTGTATGTCGTTATGGTAAAATGTTATTGTTTTTTTATCTAAGATATTCAACATCGTATGATAAGGACAACGATGTACATTTAAACTAATGTAACCTTTTTATCCCACACAGCACACAATTTTCAGTTTTACATTGACTGCAACAAGTGTATTTGTCTTTCTGGCGAAATTGTGTGTTCCCAACGCTCGTGCCCTGGTAATACTGAGCTTAAACAATCCACGTATATGTACACCGGTAAGTAGAGATTTGCTCACTCATTAACTGATATCCAAAAACTTAAACTGAATTCTTTGAATGGGAAATCCAATACAAATTAGGATTCTTTACGTGTACGTTCCTTTGCATAGGTATTGCATCTATTATGTCTCATATCATAAACTACATACAGGTGATGATATTTTTTCACTTATAAACTTGTTTTAAAATAACAAGCAATTAAACCAGTGTCTCACATGAATAAATATTATAAGTTTTCATATAATGGCTGAGACAGAACTTACTGTGTATCCTCCAAAGTGTTAGGTGTTATACACACTAGTGTTCAAAAGTAATATACCCTATCTTACAGCTAAATGCTTTTAAAATAACAAAGTCAAGTTTGAAAAATAAGCAATATCTATTTTATCAATATTTGCATACTTTAGCTATTCTCGTTATAATGGGCCCATGGAAGGCATAAGTCATGCAGCTTATTAAAAGCTTTCCAATCTGTTTTCCTAAGTAGATTTTATCCATCTGAAAAAAAAATAACCAATGAAATTCAACGTTATATAGTTGGCTTGGCGTTAATAAAATGTCAGTAGCTTCATGAAACCGTAGCAAGTGAAACTTTACACCTGTAGCCGGTAGTGACGTACGACTGTCTTTGTCTCCATAATGGTTCTCTACATTCAAGTAAAGAAGTTAATGGCTTCTCTGAGTCACTGTGCTAACGTGCTCATGTTCAGGAAACTTATCTGTCATAGTTGCATAGCTAATTCTGACTTGCTTGGCTATAAGCTTAAAAAATGTCTTTCAAGTTTACGTTGTTACATATGCCCTCTGTCTTGTATTCAGACTTGTGGTATATGGCAAAACTTGCGCGAGCTTGGCCTACTTACATTGATGGCGAACGTATTTAATCAGGATTGTTGGTAAAATAGTTACAGCATTATCAAAACTTTTAAGTAATTCAAATTTTAAAGCACTGCATAGTTGTTACCGACCACATTAATTGATTTTACTCTCGTAAATAGCAGTTGCTTTCAGATATCGTTAAAATTAAGGTCAACCTGGAACGTTTTGTTTATTTTTCTTATTATTGTTTCTACTAGAATATGTCGTAAATTTCAAATATCTTTCTAAACACAAATGTATTTGTGTTCACTTATGGGTGATTTTTTTCAATTCCGATATTTTCGGTCGTAATCTCAAGGCACAATCACTGTTATAAAATAATAGCAATCACTTCCCCCGTATACACCCATTTCTAGTTAATTTGTATTCAAATCAGGCATCTTCTGATCCATCATGTGATCTGAAATACAAACAAATCACGGATCAGACATAAATTAACTTTTGGTAGTAGTGGTTTTACACTTCAATATGATCACTACGAACAAACAGGATGGCCTAGCACCAAAGTTGCAAGCTTAAAATCAGAATGTTTACGAAGTCCTCAGTTGTCTTCTCAACGAGCTGTTTAGAGGGGATCAATAACAAAGAAGTCCTGTGGGCTTGAAGGTTAGTTCATTTAGTCTATCTCTTCTCCTTAGAATGTGTTAACCAGTTTAGTACAGTAGAAATTGACATTATTAATATTACGCTGAAGTCAGAGCCAAGTGTGCCAATATATGATAGCCCAAAGGGTCATATAATGTTGTCCCTATAATCTTTATCATTAATAATATCTTTTTGCGAGATGTAGATGTTTGCATGTTCACAAATGCGTATTCCTGTTCACACTATAATTCCCTCTCCTCCAAATGTGCTACATAACCGTATGAAAAGGGACTGTACCTGATTCCAGATTCTTTCTAACTGGGCATAAACCTGTTATCTGGCTGCAGGGTGAAGCAGAAACCATCTTGAAAAAAAAATGTCTTATAAGTGCAGAACATGATTTTACAGCTACGGGACGCGAACCATGGATCCTCTCGAAGCCACATTATGAAATGGAAAAGTAATAAAATACTTTTGTATGTTGTTAAGCACAAAGCTACAAAGTGCTATGCCCATCGCGGGTATTGAAATACGGATTTTAGAGTTATAAACTATCAGACTTACCACCGAAACACTGGTGAGGGGGGCAATGAAATACTTAACTAGTTGCAATTATAACAGTTCTTACTGCTTATAAGTTCTGCAAAAGATGAAAAAACAGCTACAGGTAATGTTTCAGTACTTAAGCCATTGTGATTAATTTGTCAAGAAATGTTAATAATACGTGACAGTAATATAATAAAGTTGTTGGGTAGATTGAGCTGATTTATTATACAATCTCGTTTTAGGTTTACCCTGTAACTGTCCCGATCACTACGTTCCTGTGTGTGGAATCAACGGGAAAACATACCCGAGTGCTTGCTTGGCAATGTATGTATGAATATTATGAAGCTGTGAAGTAACATTTAACATGTTTTAGAATGAGTACAAGTTTAATCCTAATGAACTTGTAGGTGTTTTAAGTAAGTAATATTACATTTGGTGCTGAAACATGAATACCAGTAGGAGTTCTTTATATTCATAGATTGTCCATATATTGTTCTTTACTCGCAAAAGAATAATGTTTCTTTGTTGTTAAGCTCAAAGTTACCATGGACTATTTATGCTGTACCCATTACGGGTATCGAAACTCGATTTTTTAGCGTGATGAGCTTTCAGACTTATGCTAAGCCACTGGGGGAAGAGCTCTTGATAGAATACCTACAACAAACATTATGCTCGTAAATTATTTTATTCCTGGTTTGACTGTTACCTAAGAAGATCGGTGTGATCACAAGAAATACGAAATGACTTCCAACAAATGGAGAAATAAAAGTTAAATGATTAGAGGTTTTTGTTCTGATATGAAGAAAAAGCGTTAACAAAGTGAAAAACCTATAAATCTCCACAAATAATCATTGTTGAAAATCACATTTATGATACTTCTACTGTAGAAAATGTTTAACATACTTTTTGTTTTGTCGATTATCTCTTTCGTTTTGGGATCGTGGTACTCAGATGTAAATACATCAGGCAACAATTTTTTTATCTGCTACTAGAAAAAATATAACTGTTTTTGAGTAATTCGACGATGCTGATTCTAAAATTCATGTTGAATATTACTGATGACCTCTAGTTTTTGAATTATGATAAATTTATTCAAAATGTTCTTATATATATATCGTAAAAATAACTTTTTCTTTAATAACATTATTTATTCATTGAAAATTGCATTTAAGAATGTTCAAAAACAATACATAATAGCAATACTAGTTTAACAAGCAATGAGCATAATAAAATTATATACTAAAGATACGTTCAGGCTATGTTCAAACCTTTGATCATGATGTTATTTTTAATTTTTTGTTACAAAATATTTGCCTGAGTTGTTGCACCTTTTGTGTATGTTCTCAGTTTCACGCTGTAAGAACCAACAGTAATCTCCCCATCATCGCAGGATTCCATCGTCTTTCATAGTGCTGTTCCATTGTAGAAATATCGTGGGGGAAAGCTCTCACCGTGCTTATCGCTCACTGCACCTAGATTATTTAGAAAGAAGTCTAAATGAGAGTGTAAGAAGTACATCTTTAGTGATATCCTAGACCCCATTTTCTTGTAGCTCTCGAGGATATCATCAATCATCACAGCATAGTTTTCATCTCTGTGAGTTCCTAAGAAAATTTTGCCAGTCTGTTTAAATGATTTCTACGTAGCAAGTTTTTCTGATTGAATACTGTTTCAAACTCATCATCCATCAGCACTTCCCTAATCTTTGGCCCAATAAAGATACCTCCATTTATTTTTGCTTCACTGATTTTTGGAAACTTGTCAGAAAGATATCTAAAATTATTACCATCTTTGTTCATTCCTTTTACAAAATTCTCCATGAGTCCCAGTTTTATATACATTTTAAGGATTCATTAAAGGTTGATACTCAATATTCTGTTTCACTGGTATGTAATTCTCTCTCACTGCTCATTCCTTCTTTTTGAAATGATTTTTATCATCTCACCTGTCCCAGAAACACAAAAAACAACAATGTTTGGTATATACACCCTGCAGGCCTAGAAAGAGTGCAGTAACTTTTAGATCACAACATATGTTCTACCTATGGTGATCATATTTGATGGCCTCAGGTATAATCTGCATGCTTTGATAAGTTTCTTTCATATTCACAGCATGAACAACAGGAATCGATGATTTAGTATCCCAATTGTGCAAAAGTACAGCTTGCAGCCTAAGTGTAGACGAGTCGATTAAAAGTATCCTTTCTTGAGGATGATGTTCCATTAGTGCATCAACATTTGTACAGGAACACAAAGTGTCTTGCATGCTGTAGTGAGAAGCAAAACCTTGATGGTGACTTCTGTAAACTGAAACTCTTGTTCCTGGAGCTAATACCTTCCATTGCTGTAAACGATAGCCAAGAAGTTCCCCATACTCCTTTGATAGAGACTAGTCACGAATCAGATCATTTAGCACTTCTTGTGTGATCAGATGAGGCAGTTTATGTTGAGGTGCCACAGAAACAGAATTATTAGATGAAAATGATTCATTGTCTTCTTTGCAGGATAACTTTTGTTTCCCAATTTGGTGGTAGATGTGACTCTGGAAGATCATCCTCATGAGGTACTGGTTAATGTATTGTAATTTGTTTTTCTGAATATCCAGAAATATTAGCTATGCAAAAATAACAGTCAGTTAGATTATCTTTGGGCTCATGCTATATCATGGGAACTGAAAATGGCATACTTGCTATCTTGTTATTCAGCCACTGTATAAAACCAGATGTGCAAACACACATTTGGAGCCAATGTTTTTGTTGGTCACCAATTTTACACCCAAAATAATGGTAGTAAGCTACCTTTACCTTGTGTGGGATGTTATTCCTTCGTGAAATTGTAATATATTTTTTACAAATGTAGCAGATACTATTTGGGTGATTTTTTCACTTTCGGACTTTACTTGAACTGGAGGCAGCCAGCATTTCAAATGATTTTCTTAAAAAAATGTAAAATAATTGATGTTTACAGAACTAGAGTTTAAAAAATAAAAAAAATGCAGAATTTGGTTATGTCGCGGGTGTCATGCGAGGAAGAAGATCGGACTTTTTTTTCCTGTGTGCGGAGTGAGGGGAAGTGACCAACTGAGTGAGTGAGAGGCAACTAAGAGAGAGGCGTCTGACTACGCCCCTTTTATGCTCAGTCGAGGGACTTCTCGAATGTTCCAGCATACTGAGCACGTGAGGGTTTCGTGATTTCCGGGCGAAGAAGGTGAGCGTGGGAATGACGCAAAAGTGGTGCAATTCGCTGCAATTATATCGAGAACAAATAACATATATGAATTTGAAATTTTACACCAATACAATACAGTCGTGTTTGAAGTTATCCAAAATATATCCATTAGACTGTCCAAGTAAATTAAGTTCACAGCATAAATCTATTGTACTGAGTTGATTGTATGGTCTTTCACATAGTTCTGACAAAATATTGAGATGTTACAATAACTCAAAATCTAGAGGGGATGGACAAATTCTGACTACATTTTTGAGATCAGCACCATCAAATTAGTTGAGTTTTCTCTAGTAGCAAAGTTTTGGTTATCCAGTGATATTAATAAACGTTTTCGGGTAAGTTTGGGTTTCGTCTTTGCTGAAGTGTGAATAGTAATCAATTTTTTTATGCCCTTGCTTATGTGTTAATACTTATCAACATTTTCATGTCATTTATCGTATTGTCATTACTCAGGTGTGAATATTAATAAACATTTTTCATGTAATTTTGGATATGTCCTTACTTTTGTGTAGCCCCCAGTGTCACGGCGGTATGTCTGCAGCCTTACAACACTAGAAACCAGGTTTCGATACCCGTTGCGGGCAGAGCACAGATATCCTATTGTGTGGCTTTGTGCTTAACTCCAAACAAACAAACAAATACTTATTTGTAAATAATCAACGTTTTTCAATGAATTTGTAATATTGTCATTACTCAGGTGTGAATACTAATCAACGTTTTTCATTGAATTTTCGATATTGTTTGTTTGTAGTGTAAGCACAAATCTACATAATGGGCTATCTGTGTTTGCCCACCGCGGGGAATCGAACCACGGATTTTATCATTTTATGTCCGTAAACTTACCGCTGTCCCACAGGGTATTGTCATCACGTAAATGTAAATACTATTCAACTTTTTCATGCAATTGTGAGTATCGTCCTTACTCAAATGTGAATACTATTCAAGTTTCTTGAGTAATGTAATTTTGGGTTTCATTCTTACTTAGGTGTGCAGGACTTCGAGATAAGCAGTTTGATTTTGGTGCTTGTTCTTCTGTCGATCCATGTAAGCCTAACCCTTGTCGTCATCATCAGAAGTAAGTATCCTAATACTTAAAAAAAGCATATCAGAAATTCATCGCAGTTCACATGAACTTCAGCGTATTTATAAATTAGGTATGCAGGGAGAACCTGAAGCCTGATTTTACTTTCGTCTGTTGGGGCTAATTTTAATTTCTTTAAGTGATATTGTTGGTTTCTAACGATGATCAGAAAGTTGTAAAATTAGTTCAGATTGAATTGTTCAGTCATGCTTTTTAAATATTTCTGAACTGCTTTAAATTAGTTGAAGCGAATACGATGTAAGGAATAATTCATGATAACAACACAGATTAAATCATGCACATTCTGCGCATACGCAGCCTACAAAACAAAACAACCATGTCATGAATTTGTAGCTTCACATTTTATTTCAAACTTTAAGTAATGTGCAAGACATATATTTGCTTACTTGACACAAACGGTCATCAAAATTCACCTGAACGTGCTGATGGGATGACACGGGAACTTTGACCCCCAAAATACTGAAAACATTTCGAATGTTTTTGTTATATAGAAGTAAAGAATATTGAATAAAAGCGAAATATATTTTTATAATAAATTGCTAAATTAATAATATTCAATGGGATTCAGTGGCGTATTTCATGCTTATCCCTATCTCAAACCATTACAGTTTACTTCTGTCAACCTATGAAACGGTTACAGTTTACACCACTCACTCTATAGAATCCCTGCGATTTACACCAACACCATTATGAGTTAAATCTGGATCATAGGGAACTTCTACTTATTGTAATGGAACAATATAATATTTTCTTGCTTGTTTGGTTGTTTTTTCGTACAAAGCTGCACAATGGGCTATGTGCGCTGGACTCTCCGCATATATTGAAGCCAGATTTTATTAGCGTTACAAGGTTTGCCTAATACGAAATCTTGATAATTTCTTGACATTTCATTAATCTTCAAGTTTGAGAATTACAGCTTGCAAGTTATTGTTACCGAAAGACTCAAAATCCTTAGCCAAACCTAATGAGTAACTTCCAGGATTTGGATAATACTTTCCTCTAAATTCCGCCATTACGAGGCGTATATACTTTCGAAAACGATATACTTAAGTCACCGATATAGACAATACTTATAATAATATTCTGTTTAATGTACTAAGTAACAGCTTTAAGTATGTATATTAAGATTTTTTAACAAGTAATGTCTGTAATGCAATATATGTGTTTAATATAGAATAACTTTTGTTGTTATTATTGACTTTTATAATACAAACTCAATAAACATTACAAAGGTAAATAAAATATTTTTTGATATATTTACAAGACCCTATTTAAGAAATTTACGTAATCGTTACTAACGCACTAGAAATGTTTGCTAATCATCTAAATTTGGATAATAAATCAGAAAATAACTTTTTTTTTAAAAACAAAAAGTAAGAAAGAAATGTAAAATTTAAGGCTAGTTTCGGCTTCTTACATTGTTAACATAAGCAAATCTAAAGTACAACATTAACTATTTAAAAATATTGTAATAGAATAGCGATGTAGTTTTTTTTTGTTTTTTGTTTTTTCCACCAAAACAACTTTTATGAAGTTTAAATTCGCAGGCTTGTGTAATCAGCAACGCATTTAATTCAACCCTAGAGTTTCTCAGTGTATAAAATGGTTTATTTTTTATCACAATAATTTTATATTTGTTTGTTTGAAGTTAATTACAAAGCTATACAATGGGCTATCTGTGCTCTGCCCACCACAGGTGTCGAAACCCGGTTTCTAGCGTTATAAGTCCACAGACATACCGCTGTGCCACTGGGGAAGGGAGCAAAATTGAATTGTTTTTGTTTTAGAGTAAAACCACCGTGGGGAATCGAATCCCAGATGTTAGCTTTGTAAGTCCATAAACTTACCACTCTTTCATCGGGGAGGCTATATCTTACCAAGGAAAACAGTAAAACGAGATTTAGTCACGAAGATATTCAACACTCGCGCAATATCCCAGAATGCTTTTCCTTAATTGTCGTCTGTTTTTGTCATTTAGGCCGCTGCCTGTATCATATTGTGTTTTTATAAATTTCTAAACTTTTCTAAACTTCAGAAGAAAGTGTTCATATGAGAGAAGCAGCGGAAGTGACGTATCCTTGTACAGCAGGAACATGTAACGGAACTGACGTGTGTATCGTAAACCGAGAATGTTCTTATGATCGCCCATGTTTTCCTCACAAATGCCTCCCAGGTAGGTGTCACTACTGAAAAAAATAGTTTAATAAAAGTATTTTTTTTAATTATAAAATAGAATAACATCAGTGAAATTACGTAGAGTTTACTCACGCCAGGTTTAAACGAAAAATGTGATTATCTGCTATTTGCATTGATTTTAAACCAGGGTTTCCCAAGGTGGTCGACATCTATCCCCTGGGGTCGATGAAACTGTACAGGGGTGAATAAAGATCTAGGAGTCGATAGGGGGTCTAAAATCGCCCATATTCATACCCTTGTTAAAGCCCATCAGGCCCATCCATGTCATTAGAGAAAATTAAAACCTCATTCTCTTTTACATTTTATGTTTCCTAACGATTGTATTATGATGAATAAAAGTTGATTATATAATAAAGTTTCTTGACTATGAAGTTTCATTTATAATTTATATTCTAAGAATTTGGGGGTCGATGATAACTTTATAAGTTCTTCAAGGGGTCGACAACTCAAAAAAGGTTTGGGAAACCCTGTCTTAAACAATCAAAAATAATTTTTGTTATTGTTGTATTCGTGATGTAAAGCTACACACTGTCCATCGCGGGGAATTGAACCCTTGGTTTTAGTTGTGTGAGCCATCAGAATTATCACTATGACGCGGGGTGGGGGGTAAACAGTGGGCTACCTACAATCTATCTACCGAGAGGAATTTGAATCCCGGTCCCGGATATATTTTAGTGTGGTAAGCCTGTAGACTTACTGCTGACCCCTAAAGGGACAAAATTTTTCAAAAATAAAATGCTTCAAAATTATTTTAAAAATATATCATTCATTTTGTGTCTGTGAAGAATGACACAAAGTTGTGCTTCAATTATGCATAAAAAAACAAAACGTCATAACGCGATACATAAAAGAAAGAAAGAAAGTAAATGACGTAGATTTCACAAAACACAAAAATTAGGATGAATGAGGATGCATATTCCTTTGACATCAATGTTCTTCCCTTTTTTTCAGTTTGTTTGTATTTTTGGTTAACAAACATAATAATAAAAATGTCCATTGTGGTAAACGATATAATAATTTTATCTAAGTAAGAGTTTTTTATTCCCAATTTGTAAAAAAAATCCTTACGTGATAGAAAAAAATGAATATTATTTTCAAAATCTGCGTAGCTGAATTATGGAAAATCCGTTATGAAAATTGAAAAATCTGTACGTGATGGAGCAAAATGGATATCATTTTCGGATTCAGCGTACGGGAATTACTGTAGAATATATAAACATATCAAGATAATAAAACCATCGCAGGCTTGAGTTATTGGCGAATGTTTGTTTGTTTTT